CAGGAAGCTTTCTCTCAGCATTTGGGAGCTTCCTGCATGCTTTGCAACTTTGTAGAATGAAATGCAGATGAGCATTATAAATCTCTACACTTGCATGCCCTTACTTTTATGAATCATTAAGATACAGTTTTAAAATCACCTCTGATTTTGAGCTTTGAATTTGGACTAGTAGAGGTAGTAAAAGCAGTATAAAGAAAGGGAAATAAACTTCAAAACTGCTTCCACCACCCCCCCCCCCCCGTGAGAAGTCCACTATAAATTGTGGAGATGCTTCTCAAATAAAATTAGATTCCACTGCTGCCTGATGCCACCCTCCACACTTCACCTCTTTTTTCTAAATCGCTGGAGCCTCTCTCTCGGGACACTAGGTAATCTGGAGAAAGAATAGAGTGTTCAGGCACAAGTTCTACAGAGAGCTCAGGCACATTGATTTGCATTTCTGGGTCAGCATGATTTCGCTTTCATTTAACCCTTGTACTGACCCTTGTTTCTCAACACTTTGGCTCTTCCCATCCTCTGAGAACAAGCAGTGTGCTTCACCTGCAGAGGGTAAGTGGCCCCCAACAGCGCAGAGCATGCAGACTACTCCAGACTCCTGTTTCCAATGTTTCCAGTATCACTAACATACTAGCCAACATTTGAGGTGTCTCTGAATGCAGATATTAGTCACATTGAAGAAAACAGTTTTGTGTGTCACTGGAAAATGAAATGAACATTACAAGATATCAATTCAGATGTGTCCATGGCTTCCACGATTTTGTACCTCCTGTGTGGTCGTTAATCTTTGATGTGATGAGAACAGCAGTGGAGAAAGACAGATGTCTTATTGTCTCTTTTTAAACATTTTTTTTTTTAGATTTTAATTATTTATTCAGAAGAGACACACAAGAGAGGCAGAGACATAGCAGAGGGAGAAGCCGGCTCCCTGCAGGGAGCCTGATGTGGAACTCGATTCCAGGACCCCGGGATCACGACCTGAGCCGAAGGCAGATGCTCAACCACTGAACCACCCCGGCATCCCTGTCTCTCTTTTATATGAGTCATGCTGGGAATTCTGTGAAGACCCACAGTGTTAGAAAGGGGGACACAATGTAGATCTAAGGCTTTAGAATAAGGCTCTTTCTATTCTCTATTTCACAGTGTAATTTCTGTTAAGAGGGAGCAAAGACCTCAGCAAGATTTAGTTACCTGTGCTATGTATGGTAGGTATAGATCATTAGTTGTTTGGGATGAGGTCTTCGCTAGAAGAGCCTTGTGCAAAGGTAAAGGTGCATTGTATGATGCAAAGTGCTGCACAGATGTGGGATATCAATCTGATGTTAAAATAATTGAGATAAAATATTAATGCAATGAATGAAATGTTTGTCCCCCAAAGCTTTGCCTCAATCAGTAAGAATATTGCCTTTTTCTTAGAATAACATAATTGTGTGACAGATGGATAAATCTTGACATAATTCTTTTAAAAATGTAGTAACAACATTATTAAAAAGATAGGTAAATAATGAGAATCCAGTAAAACTCACCAGTATTCTCAATTTGCAGAGATAATCACTGATAGCATGATTTATTTTCTATTAGTTTTGGTGTGTGAAAACTGAAATAGTAGTGTTGAAATATTTTCACTCTCCAATGAGTATCCTTATAGCTATATTTTAAGTACATCTCTGTGATGCTTTCTTAGATAAACTTTTAGATATCTAGTTGCTAAATTGAAGAATGTTTATTCTTTTAAGGCTTTAAAACACACATATGTACAAGCACTCCTTCAGAAAGGCCGATCAATTTATACTGTCAGTGCATACCATTGTATTTATTTTTATATCACTCCCAAATACTACATATTATTTTAAATTTTTTTCCAATATGACAAGTGAAAAATGGTGTCTCATACTTGGAATTTTGACTCCTTAGATTCTCAATGTCCTTAAAATGATTGAAAATGTCCTTTCAAATGATTATTGGCTATTTAAAAATTATTTATGTCCTTTGAACATTTTTCTCATGTGTTGTATATCTTTCTGTCAATTTGTAAGATTTTTAAAATCTAATAAGGCTATTAATTCTTTTTTTATTTGAGTTTAAAAAAAAACCCTCTAAAATGAAAGTGATTCAGATTTTTCCTTAGAAATCTTTTCCTTAGGGATCCCTGGGTGGCGCAGCGGTTTGGCGCCTGCCTTTGGCTCAGGGCGCGATCTGGAGACTCCGGATCGAATCCCACGTCGGGCTCCTGGTGCATGGAGCCTGCTTCTCCCTCTGCCTGTGTCTCTGCCTCTCTCTCTCTCTGTGTGTGTGTGTGACTATCATAAAATAAATAAAAATTAAAAAAAAATCTTTTCCTTAGAAAGAGAAGTAGCTGAAATTGGTTACACAAAGGTTGCTATGCATTCAACTGCGTGTGTATGGGTTTGTTAACTTTGTGTATATCTCAGTTGTTTTCTGGCAGATATTCCTGAATCAAGGGTCAGAAAACATCATTTTTACAAATAGTTGTGGTTTCCTTTTGAGACAAATAATTAAGTTAAGGGAAAATTACAAATAGTTTTGAGCATTAGCTGATTTTATATTTATAGCATCCATTTCCAAAGACTCAATTCCAAATATTTTAAAAGGAAAATTTGTATTTTCTTTTACTGCACCTGCTTTTTGCGTGGGGTTGTTGTTTTCTCTGTTTTAGCAATAATCTAAGTTGGGACAAACAGAGGCCAGAACTCCAAAGTAGAGGACAGGAACTCCTAAGATTGGATGGTCTGCTGGGCTAGGTACTTAAATAGAAGCTGATGTTGGATGAGACCACATCCTTCCTCCTCCGCCCCTTCCCTTGCCCTGCTGCCCTCTCCCTCTGTCCCTCTTTTTTTCTCCCTCTCTTCCTCTCCCCGCCCCTTCACTCCCCACCCCTACTCTCTGTACTCCCTTTTCTCTTTAATCGGCCACAGGACCTTGAGTAACTCCCCTCTGCTTCTAGGCAGAAGGAAATATTAGTGCCTCTACCTGCCTGAGGCAAGAGGCTGGGGGAAGTGTTTGAGCTGCCAATGAGATCTCTTAAACATGCAAAATGTAATTCTTCCTGCTACTTAAAAATGTAAGTGTACTCAGGTGTGCACATGCTCAGAGGCACACGTGTATTAGTTTACCACTTTTGTTGCTCAATCACTCAGCCATAATTTTTTTTTTCAAATTGCCTTTCAGAATGATAAAATGTACATGCAGTATTTAAAATCTCTAATAAGACTACTATTTTTTAATGACTGGTAGTACTCCTTTTATTAACTAATGGAGATAGTGTTGGCTACATCTTGACCCAAAGAGGTGTTGTGTAAGGGTGACTAAATGGGTCTGGTAAGTTGCCCCTCATCTAGAGAAGGACTGCCATCTTTAAACAATGGCATGGCTTGTTTCCAGATTGTGGGATGGGAGTGAGGATAACACTTTTAGTGATGAAGTTGGCATTTCCCATCTGTTGTACTTCAAACAGAGGCCTCCTTCTCTCTACCAATCACAAATATAAAAACTCTGCTGATACTTTGACCATCTGGATTTCCCATTGTATCCTGTTTTCACACCTGGAGAGTCAGAGCAGAACTTTGATTGATGTTTTTCAAAATTGTCTCATAAAATTAAAGGACAGACAAACAGCATTTTTCCAAAATTGTAAGCAGTAGAACCAACATTCATAACTTTTGTTACTGCTTTTAGAAAAATGCTTTTTTTTTTAAAGCAAAACATTGCATTCTGACTCATTACTGCTTATGTTTAACAGGGTGAGAGCTAAGATTAAAGCAGTGGGTAATAGTCCCAAGTTCAAAATTAAATTCAATGAGTTCTGTATTCTACTTTAATTAAAATATTTACAGGTTTGTGGTTTACTTTCTCTTAGGGAGCCAGATACCATCTTCATTTGGTCAGCTGGCAGACTTTGCTAATTGGAGAGCCATGTAAAATACCACTTTGAATCTGTTCTAGGGTATGGCTTTATTCTGAATTACTATAAATTAGCCATTTCCGCAGACCTATCTACTTCTGTCTGCCTCGGTACCAAACCCAGCTTGAGTTCCAACGGCTGCTTTAGAAAAATGCAGTAGGCCCCAAATTTCCTTTTCTCTCCTTAGTTACTCCTCAAGCAGCAATTTGCCTATTTTTGCTGTTTCCTAATTTTTAAGAGTGACAGGCAAGGTATTAAGCTTTGGTTTCTCTCTAGATCCTATCAGTTTCCTCAAACACAGTTATCTCCTCTGTTAGCCCTGGTGTGCTGCTGGGGATTACCGGGCCCCCCTGGCCAGCTGCTGCCTTGCCCCTGAAGAGCTATTTGCTTTTAGGGAGCTAGGAACTAAGTCCCCTAAGTGTTACACACTTGGAGACCCCTTAGCATGAACCACAGTGTAGAAATAGGAACTCTCATCCCTTTCCTGGCATCGGAAAAAAAGGACCTGGGCACTTTTAAATATCACATTTTTTTTTCCTTTCATTTTTAGGTCAGAATAGGAAGCAGGTGTAGTCCTGTGGCAGAATGAAGATGACCCTGGCTAGGATTCTTTTGTCCGTTAATTCTGCCCCAGTGAGGGAAAGTCTTCTAAATAATTATTAATATGTTTGAAAGGTACAGGGCACAGGGAGACAATTAAATACAAGATTTGGGCCATCCACTCTGAACTGCATAGCATTACTAATAAATATGATAAAAGAAACTTTCATCAAGTTAAGAATGTGGCATTTGAAACACATAGCTGCCTCATTGGTGGGTTTACTTCCTTCTTTCTTTGTAAAGCTTCACAGTAAGTGGCCCAGTGTGAAACTGGAACTCGGTATGGGGAAAGAGGACGGGTGGAGGAACGGTCATGTTATTAAGTTATTGCAAATGTAGTGACTGGTGATTTCACACGTACGCATTCCACATTACAGGAAGCTCACACATATAAGAAACCATGCCCTGTTGGCCCCTTACCACCAGATTTTCCATTGCCTATCTCTAAGATCTAATGCTTGTTTTTTTTTTATCATGTCAGTTTGCTTTTCTATAGTGAAGAAGGAATGCGGTCATATGAATTTCAAGGATAAGAAAGCAATCTACATGCATCCAGCAAATCTAAAGGACAAAAGAATTTTTTTCAGTCACTTGAAGCATGGTATGTTCTTCCTTCACTTCACAATGCTTCCTTTGAGATGACTTTTTGTGTTGTTGTTTTTTTTAATGAAACCAAAATAATCTTGCCAGTAGGGTCATGGAAAATTTTACCAACTCCATTTGTTCATAGTTGCCCATCCCTGCTCATTTCTTTTCCTTCTTTATAGACAAAAACTTAAAAAAAAAACCTTTCCTTTTTCTGTTATAGAAAGTTATTTCTGGAAAAAAGCTTCTAAAAATTTGAACAATATAAAGGCATACAAATTTGAAAAAGACATACTGTCTCCCACTGCCCTTTCTTCCTGCCACATTTGCTTTTTACCTGTTGGTAGAACCAGAGTCTGTTTTCTTTCTTTCTTCTTTCTTTTCTTTTCTTTTTTCTTTTCTTTCTTTTCTTTTCTTTTCTTTTCTTTTCTTTTCTTTTCTTTTCTTTTCTTTTCTTCTTTCTTTTTTCTTTTCTTTCTTTCCTTCTTTCTTCTTTCTTTTCTTCTTTTCTTCTTTCTTTCTTTCTTTCTTTCTTTCTTTCTTTCTTTCTGATTTATGTATTGAGAGAGAGAGAGAGAGAGAGAGAGAGAGAGATTGAATCCTCAAGCAGAGGCCCTGCTGAGTGCAGAGCCCAACACAGGGCTCCATCCCTAGACCCTGAGATCATGACCTGAGTGGAAACCAAGAGTCTGACACTTAACCAACTGAGCCACCCAGGCGCCCCTCACTTAGGGTTTCTATGAATCCTTGACAAGTGTAGTAAAGACACATGGAGAACTGGATATCAACTCTCCTTTTTCAACACTCATGTTTCTAGAAGATGCACAAGGTGAAGGAGGGAGAGAAAACTGAACTAGACCAAAGAGAGATGAGAAGAAAGATGCAGCTCCTTTCTCCTCCCTTGAAGGTCAGCTCCTTGAGGATGAGGTTTCTCTATTAACTGTCTTTATAATTTATCAGGTTAGGAAAATGCCTACCAAGTAGTAGTGGTGAATAAATGAATAGGAATGAAAAGCAGGAAGAGTGCGTGGGTGGTTCAGTGGGTTGTGTCTGACTCTTGATTTTGGCTCAGGTCATGATGTCAGGGGTCAGGAGATGGAGCCCTGTGTCAACACCGTGCTCAGCATGGAACCTGCTTAAGATTCTCTCTCTCCCTTTCCCTCTGTACCCCCTCCCACAACCAGGCTTGCACACGTGCTCTCTCTCTCTCTCAAAAAAAAAAAAAAAAAAAAAAAGAAAGAAAAGAAAAACAGGAATTAACTGGCTAAGGTTAGGCAGAATTCACTGAAATAATTTAAAGGTTTCTTGTATTTAAAGGCTTGTATTTTCTATGTCTACCTTAGGTTTTTATTCTGTAAGTAGCCAGCAGATGCCACTTTGAAGTTTAGTACCATAGGTAGTTGCTGCCAAATTAAACTAATATTAAAGATAAAAACTTGTTTGGAATAAATCCATACTTGGAAGAAGAAACTTTGAACCATTTCTACCATTAACTCACTGGGGGATTTGTACTTCAATGGTCATTAAGATTTATAAGCCCATGGTCTACTTTTGGGAAAAAGAGGCCACAGGGAATTCTCTAGACTTAGTGCCCATCTCTCCCACCACTGTGGCAGCAACTGGTTGAGCCAGGAGCCAACACCTGACCAAAAGGATAGCCTGCTTTAGGCTCTCCAGGCCCCCTCGAAGTAGCTGGGAATGGCACTAGATTGTTATTATCTGAACCAATCAAAGCCTTTCTCTTGGGAAGTCGGAACTTGAGACAGAGAGACCTGGAAAGAGAGAAGAGCAGACTCATTTACAAACCAGGTAGTCCAGTGTCTACCTGGAAAACTAGGGATGTGGGAAGAGAAGACAGTAAGCAGAAACTATGAGCCAAAAGATGACTTCAGTAATGGAAGTGATGAAAGAAGGTGTAGGAAACCATCAGTTAGTAGAATAAGTCTGCCAAGAAAGGAATAGATGCAGCAGTTGCTTCAGGAGTGGTGAGATGCTGGAGAAACTGCTGTTTTATTTCAAAAAACATGTTAGTTCTCTGTGAGGCCTGCCACATAGCTCTGGAAACCATTTACTTTGCTTCCTCAACCCTCCCAAGTCTCTCTACACTGGAAACTCTTACCCTGAGGTGAATGAGTAGCCTCCATATTTTGCAACTTGAAAAATCCCCATATGTCAGAAGAGCAGGTTGTTTAGAGATAATCACAAACATCCCTTCCCTTGCAGTTGGAGAGAGACATTATAGAATGACATATAGATGGTCTGAGCAGAGCTTTACATGGTGGCAAATGCTTTGGGAGGGTCACTACAATTCAAGGTCTTATTTTCTCTGCTGTGGACTTTGAAATTTGATTTCATCCATGTAGCCAGTGTTGGCTTACATCAAGTATACAGAATTACAATGTGAGGTAGGACTTTTTAGAGATAGGGATCTCCTTTTTACAGTTTTTGGCACTACTGAACTCCTTTTCTTTACCAAGACTCCCTTTGGGCTCCTCACCCTTTTTTCTGAGCATTACTTTTTTTCCTCCTTTAGTTTCATAAATGCATATGTTCCTTATGGTTTGCCTTTCATCTCTATCTCCTTGCCTTCCATGGAAGTGCTCTCCACTGCCAAGGTTCTCCTCTATCCTGATGACCACTTTAACACCCTTCCAGATTTCCAAATCTCTTGGACACTTGCACCTGAAAATCTCACCAGCATCTCATTTTCAATGAGTTCAAATGGAGATTACTTTCTTTTCCTTGGAAGTTCTTCCTCCAGTGTTCTTTCCCCTTCTCTAAAATGGGACCTCAGTGAGTCAGACTCAAAGTTCAGAATCCTTTTTACTTGTTTTTTTTCTCCTATGGCCAACAGCTATCGTTACAAAGTCCTAGCAATTCTACCCATGTAATGCCAGTGTCATCCATTCTCCTCTATGTTCATTATCTAGTGCTGCATAATAAATCATGCTGAGGTTTAGCAGCTTAAACATGACATATTTATTGTTTCACACAGTTCTTGAGGATTAAGAATCTGAGAGTGGCTTAGCTTAGTTGGTCTCATGACCAACTAAGGCAGACTTCAACTAAGGCAGACTTCAGCTGAGGTCGTAGTCATCTCAAAGCTTGATCAGGGCTAGAGAATCTGCTTCAGAGACCATCCATGTGGTTGTTAGCAGGTCTCTGTTCCTTTCTGGCTATTGGCCAGAGACTTCAGTTCCTTACATGGTGGGTCTCTCTACAGGGTTGCTTACCACAGGACAGCTTGCTTCTCCCCACAGGTAGAGAGAGGAGGGAGTGAGAGAGGGAGGGGATGGGCGAGGGGAGACTTAAGATGAAAGCTGTAGTCTCTTTATACCCAATCTTGAATATCATACACCATCAGTTTTGCAATATTCTATTTGTTAGAAGCTAATCACTAAGTATAGCCCACACTTAGCATGAGGGAATTAAGGGAGAAATGTCAAAGAATTTGTGGACATTTTTATTTTTAAACCCCCCCCCCCACTTCTTTGTTTCTACTTCTAAGGTCCTAGGTCAGGCTCTTATCACTCCTCATCAGTATTTGTTCTTAAGATAAAAGCCAAGATATTTAATATGGGCTACCTGGCCCAGGTGTCTACTGTATTCTATTTATCTATTGGTTTGCTTTTTTCTCTTTCTGGGTCTTTCTCTCCCTGTCTCCCATATTCACACTTCCCAAGAGAGAAGCTTTAAGTAGTTCAGGCAGTCAATAGCTGGTGTCACTCTAGGTCACCTCATAGGGGACTGGAGAGCTTCGGGGAGTCTGTCTTTTGGTCAGGTGTTGGCTCCTGACCCAATCAGCTGTGCTTAAGGTGGTGGGTGACTTAACCCTACCTTATGCTTCCCTATGTCAAGCCACAATCTCCCCCCAGCTTCTGCTGTGCAGCACTGGCCTTTTTTGGAAGGTCACAAGAGCCATTTTCCCATCTGCCATAGAGCCTGTACTTGGCCTGCTCCTCTGCCTGGCCAGCTCTTCCTTCTCTATCTCCTTCTGGTCCCCGCTTGACTTCAGAGCATCTTTACATCCCAGTAGATGTTACCACTTCAGGTGTGAATTCCTGATCCCTTCATCTACATTAGGTTCCTTGTGAGCTCTCCCAACACCCAGTACTTTTCCTTCACAACTCTTGCTTGTGTAGTCATTTAACAGTTCATTCCTCCATTGGACTATAGCCTCTGTGACCCTTTTGCTCACAATGTCTGACACTTGAAGTGAGCACAGTGACTATTTATTATAAGTTTCTTGGCTCTTCTGTCATATGCTTGGTGGCATAATTACTCTTTTTCCTGCATTCATGCTTTTCTCTTGCTCACACACTTTCAGTGATCCCTGAGCGCCTGCAACACAGAGCCATCACTCTTTTGTCTGGCATTCAAGGTCCTTTGTAATGGGGGCCAGCTCTCTTTTCTGGTTTTGTTTCTTAGCATTCCTTTTAACAGACTCAAGAGCTCCAACTGAAGTGAATCACTTGCTTCTTCTAAAGCACACTTTACGCTTTACTCATTACATCTTTGCTCCTATTGTTCTCTATATCCTGTAATGTATTCTTACTGAGATTATATAAAAATCTTTAGGAAATCTTTTAGTTTGTTTCTTGTCAGTTGTTTGTTTATATATATAACTTCTGAAAATTTTGCTGAAATTAATTTAAATCATAGATATCATGATATTTAACTCTTAAATACTATGAGAAAATAACACTTTCTTTCTCAAACACAATTCTATTTTTATACTTACAAATGAACAATAATCTCTTCATGTCATCTAATATTTAATCTGCATTATATTTCCTCAATGTCCTCCAAATGTTTAATTACAATGACTTAGTCAAATTAAAAGTCAGACCAGGTCCACACACTGCATTTGGCATTTATGCTCTTGATTGAGTAGTCATTCATCACATGCAGATTTGGGCCAGTGTCATTTAGCTTGGCCTCAGGGATATAGGTCTGACAGGTTTAGGGCACAACCAGTTTGAGAACCCCAAGAAGGCCACAGGTTCAGAATTTTGA